CACGCACACACACACACACGCACACACACACACACGCACACACACACACACACACACACACACACACACACACACACACACACACACACACACACACACACACCCACACACACACACACACACACACACACACACACACACACACACACACACACACACACACACACACACACACACACACACACACACACAAGGGTGTCTAGTACAGGGAGAGCCTTACATATGATGACAGCAGCGAGGAGGCGGACAGCAAAATAGGGTGCTGGACAGGTGGAGAAGAAGGGCTGCACCAGGTAGGTGGAGAAGGTCAGAGCTATCACTGCCTGACAAGCTGGCTCAACTATCAACAAGGATGTCCACAGTCTGCAGAATTAAAAAGGTCTTCATTATAAGGCATACATGTAGCATATATTTTGTTAAACTGTATTAAGATGACAATTAATAACAGACATTTTCTATACCTCTACCATTAGGAAAATGGCTTGAAAAATAATGATCTTGTATGTTAGTGAACTGTCTCCAATAAAGTCGACATAGTGTAATGTGTGAGGCTTCTGTTTAAATCATTACCTAATAGAAAGGATATGGCAGACGTAGCGGGGAGACTATATGGGGCTATTATTGTGGCAAAACTGTTTTCAAATGTGTGTGGAGAGTTGTGCAACAGCATCTTAATCAGATTTGTGAATATATACAGGAATCTGAACCTTCTGTGTATTCAGAATCCGGGTGTGCTAGGGATGCTAATTTAGAATTTGTTTCTGACCAATAGCCGACCTTTGTTAACCGATCAATAACCGTTAACCGACAAGATAAGTGCCTTGCACACAGATTGAGATAGTGACACAGCTCTCCACGCACATTTGCAAATAGTTTTGCGACAATATTGGCTCCATAAGACTAACTATTTGCTGGGGGAAACTAAATCTATTATACTGAGCTGTATATGTGAGCTTTTGCATTATAAGTTAAGAATATATATGCTAAATATTGTAATACACTGCAGGTAATAGTGTCAGAGAAAAAAGACAATTGGGCACGAAGTTATGAGAGATAATCACATCTGTACTTGCTAACAATACCAGCTGTCAAAAAGGGACCTGACATACAGTAGAAAGAACAACAGTGTACTGAACCCTGTACAATATGGTCCAAAACTCATGTTAGTCACACTATACTTCATGTTTGGTAGACTTGAATAAAGAACATATGGTAGAACAAGTACTGAGTTTCTATTGTGTGTAGTTCCCAGGACAATATGTTAATGGTATGTTTGCAGGGAGAAAGAGTAAAATAAATGCACACCGAACAAAAGCTAATAAACCGCCGAAGGCCTCCAGGATGTAGGCATAGGAGGCTCCCGATTTACGGATGGTAGTGCCCAGCTCAGCATAGCACAACGCTCCAAACACGGAAAATATCCCTCCAATGGCCCACACCACCAGGGACAGGCCAAATGAGCCCGTGTACATAAGAACCCCCTGCAGGACAACAGAGAGCAGCGACATCATATATGTATAAGATATACAACAAAGTACACTTTCGAGACAGAAAGACACATGAAAGATTTTCAATAAAGAGCAAGAAACTATGTTCTTTTTACAATACGAAAATAAATACATATCAGAGCAAATACAGAAATCAATTGGGCTAACAAAGCAGAGACTCTTACCTTAGGTGAGACGAAGATACCGGAGCCTATCATATTTCCCACGATCAGACAGACCCCATGGAGGAGGGAAATCTCCTGCTTCAGCCGCACGCCGCTCCCCTGAGATGCTGAGTCTACCTCAGCGACCATTGTGAGGGGTTAAACAGACTTTCAGCCCCAGCTCAGATGACGCAACAGGGAAGTGATAAGGAAGACGGACTAGTTCCCGGAAGCGCCAGAAAGTGACACGGGGTGAAAGAACAGAAAAACAATATAGTGGAATGGAATGAGGGTGTAGACAGGGAGGAGAGAGGGTCACTGGAAGGCGGAGACTACGGACATTTTAAACGGCCATTGTTGAATCCGAGGAGCAATTCTCCACTGAGATAATCTGGAAGAAAAACAAGGAAACCGTGTCACAGAACTGCTTCATAAATCTCAGTTTTGCCGAGAGGAGACGGAGTAAGTGAGACTGACTCCAGTGTGTCATTGGCAGATATCATTTAATCACCTAATGGACTAGTAGGGGGGCAATGGGGTAACTGCAAATGAGTAAATGAATGAATGAGTGACAGAATGGATTGAATTAATGCCTTCCTAGGTGCTTTCCAAATAAGAAGCAGTAGCCTACTACATACCAGCTTCACTAAACTGCTGTTTGACAGAAGCCCCCTTTTCACCAACAAAGAGATTGTTTCCGTCTCAACATGGATCAGACTAGAGCAAGCGTACAATGGGAAGCATTCAAAGCTTACATTGGGGGTGTGATGGTGAGCTGTACAAGCTTTAGGCCTAAATCAACAACTCACTATGAAGTGTTAATCAAGCTTGAGGTCCAACTTTAAAGTTTTGGAGCAAGACCTAAACCACGCTGACAACCCAGAGACACACAAGGAGCTCCTTGTGTTGAGACTTCACTCGTAAAATGTACGCAAATCTCCTTTTGGTTGAAACAACCTTACAGGTGTGTGTTAAAACATACATTCAGCTGTAGAACTTTCATATCCATCACACATGCTCCTTCCATGTTTGAAACACAAACATAGAAACAGTCACAATGACTAAACTTAACAAAAACCCTCATGAATAAGACTTAAATACTGCCTCACAGCGAAATGGATTTTAAGCAGTTGTACACACAGTTAAATTCTAAATGTACACATAACTGGTAGCTAGCATGAATTTCGCTACATTTGTGTCTTTATTTGTTGTTTTTTTATCGTGTTTGTCACTAATACGACTGAATACATTCAGCAACATGAAACTGTCGGACCAAATTGCCCCCCAGGAGTCGAGCCAAGATGGAAGCTAAGCTAAAGCAGCTAACTATAGGACCTGAGGCTACTCCACTACCCAGCCTACTGATGCCCGGTAGCAGAGAAATAAGACAGATAAACGCAGCGGGAGGTCGGTGGCTGTTGTGCCCACATCTTCACAGAGACCTGGCTCCATCGTTCATCCCGGATCAAGCTGCACTTGACGGGCGGACAGTAGGACAGAGACCAGGTCTCTGGTGGGGCGAGAGGAGGTGGACTCTGTGTTTATCATGATGCTCAAACACAGTTAAAGTTGGACGGACAATGTTCTCATGTTGAATTGTTAATGGGAAGATGTCGGCCGGAGAATTGTTTTTGTTGCTGCTGCTGTTTACATTCCTTATGATGCAAGTTAAAGAAATGCATTACAGGAATGTACTACTTTTTAGTTTTGTTTGTCATACGTTTGTTGTGTTACAAATGGGCTACAACTGAATTTAATTGCGTATCCCTCTGTTGCATAATGACAATAAATGATCCTTTAATCCTTAAAAGTTTAAAATGTTGATGATAGGGAAAAACAATCTAAGAGACAGGATCATACTTGTTTTGTTTTTTTTAAACACTTCTCGACAAATTGACTTGGGGATATGGTTGACTTTAAAATGCCAAAGTTGTACACCTTTCAGTCATTCAATGTCACAAGCACTGCATATTAATCATCTGACAAAAAGACTGACCTTAAAATGTACTTTCATTCAAAGTAAAAAAAGAAGACATGGCTGCTGAATCACAGCTGCTAAGATTTAAATGCTTTTCCCTGTTTCGTATTTGCCAGACAATTAAAAAAAAAAAGCCCAGAACTAATGGGTCTGTGAGGGACAAGCGCCATGTGTCCCAGTACTAGACTAATGACATTACTGTAGGTCTGCTCTGCAATATGGCTGCTGCAGTATAAGTGCTCTTGATCTCCACTTTCACAACCTGTTCATTTACCCCCTGTTGACAAGGGGAACACATGTAGAAGTTAATTAAACTAAAGTTATTAGACGTTATTGAGGACGATGCATAAAGGAATCCACTTCCTCTCATGTGTCAAACACGCATTTTACAACTTGCACGTGCTCCGGTCACAAAGCACACAGGATGGGGATGTGAAACGTGGACTCGGACTACTTTGTGGCGACACAGCCTGTAAATGTTATGTTAATCAAACCACCCGCTCATGCTACTCCGTTATAAAACAAATACAAATACTCGTTAACGACTATATAGCACCAGATCGGCTGGTAGTCTATTAGCACTGGCCCGGCCGGCACATGCTCAAAAGAGGACGATGGATCAATTAAACCCGTGCATCACCACGTTAACGCTATTAACTTAACTTACACTGGTATCCATCTCAACAACACACATCTTAAACTGGCTGTGCAGAGACTCTGAACTGTAGCATTAGGCTAACGGAGCTAGCCTAGTCACCGCACTGCAACATGCTTGATGCAGTTGATGCTAACGTTAGGATTTGATGTAACAGTATAGCTAACGTTAAGCAACGGTTAGTGTGAGTGGAGACACTTCACCTACATGCCTTTACTAGCACCGGCTAGATAATTAATCCAGCTGAAAATAAAAGAGGAACTAGTTACCTTTGTGGATGCCGTCTTCTTTTTCTTCCTCCCAATATAGCAAAGCAGCAGTTCACGGGTCGTGCTTCTTCTGCATTGTGTGACCAACTTTAGCTCGTAAGTCCTGAAGCAGTGAACATCTGCAGTAAGCTCCACCTCATTATCCTCCTCCTTATCATCATCATCATCTACCGCCTAAGGCCCAGCACCACCCACTTACAGAGCGGCTCTGATGGGTAATGAGACAACCAGTAAAGCACGGAGAGACAGCGAGATCCTTCTTGTGGCACTCCGCGGAACTCTCTGTGGCACTCTCTGTGGCACTTCAGCTGAAGTGCCACATAAGGGGGTTCTTATGTAGTCTGTGGACTACATGCGATTTAATATTAATTTATCCATGTACACAGCAAGAATCAAGTTTTCGATTAATCTGTGGATTGTTTGATGCAATACAGTTTGTAATATAGTTTAATCAAAGTCATTTTTGTGTGTGCAGAGTTGTTGCTATTTATTCTTCCACCATATTGTGCTGCTGCTTGAGTGAACGCAGAGCATAGCCTGCAAAAGGACACGCAGATTAAGAGTGTTTACCATTTATACCACTAGATGGCAGTATACGTGTATTTAAACCATAGATTTGTTATATTTACCTGTGTCTTTGTTAATTGTGTTATTGATACAGATGTATTTAATGCAGGTTATTTCATCTGATATTTGATGTTGATGGTTAATTTGCAACCTAGTTGTATACATCATGTATTTACTTATTATTTTTATGCAATAGAAAAGTGAGCATGTGTAGTTCATGAAGCAATAAATAATGACAATTGAAAAATAAAGAGACGTTTGGTTCATTCTTTTTAAACACTAAGCCTAATTTACCTACTTCATTGATTTAATTGTCACACTTAAATCCTGAATTGACTGGTGAAACAGAAGAAGTTAAAAGGCCAAGATGAGAAGATATAATGTTGGTCAAATACTGTGGTTCAAATAAAATTACTTCAGTTTTATTGCCATTGAGATATAGAAAGTTTGACTCTAGAATATTCAAAAAATTCCTAATCCCTCTGACTGCTGGCGGCACCCTGTGGCACTCTCTGGCACTCTCTGGCACCCTGCGGCACTCTCTGGCACCCTGCGGCACTCTGGCACCCTGTGGCACTCTCTGGCACTCTCTGGCACCCTGTGGCACCCTCTGGCACTCTCTGGCACCCTGTGGCACCCTGTGGCACCCTCTGGCACTCTCTGGCACTCTCTGGCACCCCCTGGCACCCTCTGGCAGCTTGTGGCACCTACTGACATACATATACATATAAGCAGAGGAAGAGTGACGATATTTTCAGACATGTATTTTTGGATTGGACATTTTATGGGTTTTAATTTTAAATTTAATTTTTTTATATATATATATATACTTTTAAATGATAATAAAACGGATGATTTATTTTCATTATTTTAGCCGATTGTTGTAAATGACTATAAAAGTTATAATTCGGAAAGAGTGTATTATGTTCCCTTTTGTTGCAAAACCAGCAAAATCATACTTAAATAAGATGAATGAGAAACAAAAAAGTACAACGTAAGTACTCTATGGAATGCATACAGAGAACAGGTGGCTCCGGTGACTCAACTAAAATCATAGCTGACCTGTTGTAACAACAATGTGTGTTCTCAGGAAATGTCTCAGGAAATGTGGCTCCGCCCCCTCAGCTCCGCCGCTTCTTGACGGGTGCCGAACTAGTACCGCTCGCCTGCTACAGCTGACGCTTGCCGCTGAAGTGCCACAGACTGCCGCTGAGTGCCACAGAGTGCCACAGAGTGCCACAGAGAGTGCCGCTGAGTGCCACAGAGAGTGCCGCGGAGTGCCACAGAGTGCCGCTGAGTGCCACAGAGTGCCACAGAGAGTGCCGCGGAGTGCCACAGAGTGCCGCTGAGTGCCACAGAGAGTGCCACAGAGTGCCGCTGAGTGCCACAGAGAGTGCCGCGGAGTGCCACAGAGTGCCGCTGAGTGCCACAGAGTGCCACAGAGAGTGCCGCGGAGTGCCACAGAGTGCCGCTGAGTGCCACAGAGTGCCACAGAGAGTGCCGCAGAGTGCCGCTGAGTGCCACAAGAAGGATCTCGGCCCTGCACGGCACAAAGCACTAACGTTATATATACATGAATACAGAGAGTAAATAAGGACAGTACACGTACACACACATGTGAAAGCAGCAGCAATGATTTATGTTTGAGCGGTGATGCGTCACACCTGTTTCATTTGTCAAACTGCACTTTATTCTCATCTTGTTTATCTAGGCTCTATTGTACAGCCTGATCGAAATCTAGGATGCAAGCAATTTATATTTTTGAAAGCTTATATCTCTTCTTGTACCCACTTTAAATACTTTTATGTTCATAAACTGTTTAAAGCATATCTACAGCATCATACGAGCCACAACTAAAAACTCTGTTCTGGTTAATAAGTGACCATCCATATACTTATCTTGACATTTGCGTATCGTTTTAAATAAACAGTAGCCCTGGCCTATGAACACACGCCTTTTGATAAGAAACATGCCGTTGGAGTCAGTGTATGAACGTGGTGGTCGCCTACTCTGTGTCTAGATTCAACTGTCAATAAAACTCGCACAAACATGCCGATAACTGCAAAAACCTGATATGAATTACAGTGGACACGTCTTGTTGAGTGTGCATGGAGCTGGGTCTACAGGCCAGCCTGTACATTGCATGATTGTACAGGCGGTGTCTTGTAAAATAGTTTCCTTCAAACCACACATTCCTCAAGCTCGTATAACCTGAGATGTGCTGCCACCTAGTGGTTGTTGATTTAATGATTCCACCCACCTATTTGGCAGGTTATGATTTGACCATCAGTATATTCTGCGGTTACATAGAGGTGATCACTGGTATGATTTGGCATTTTGACTGTAGACATTCATTATTGTATAATGTGTTAAGACGCGGGTATTATTTAATATGAGATATGAAAACTGTAATTCTCCTTCACACTGATTCTCCCAGAATGACATGCATGTTTAAGTTCACAAGGCCTAAAATCCAAATTGTATAAAAATGTGTTATTTACATTTTTATTTTTTATTCTATTGTTGTCTTGTGATGAGTCATTCTTCCTCGTAGCATGGAGAGATCAGAGAGCTGAACTGTGCTCTACCTGCTCATCGACACAGAAACAAAGAGGGAAACACCCATCCTGTTGAGGACCTGAACGCTCCATAGGGGGACATGGGGTGTGTCAAGCCTTTGAGAAAAGGGAGGCTCGTCAAGGGGTGCATGATAGCTATAGGAGGCACATAAACGCTCATTAGTGACCCAGTGTAAAAGCCATCAGATTGTGATATGTTGAGACTTCCTGTCATTCATTTCACAATAAAACCTTTAAAAAAATGGCTCATCTTAATGTGGGTAATCAGGGTGTCATTGACTGTTAGCCAATGCTAAATCTCTCTCTGGATGAGAAACTCAACATAACCCAGCCTAGCCAAAGCATTGTCTTTCTCCTTCTGGGGGAAGTTGCAAAAACAAATAGTTACCATTAACTTTAAAAGTTATGCGTTTCCTTTCCGTGCATATTATGCAACATGCTAGGTCTGCAACCAACCTAACAATTACTTTCGTTGTCAATGAATCTGTCGATTATTTTCTCAATTAAGCGGCTGGTCCAGGCTAGAAAATGTCAGATGATAGTGAAGAATATAGGGTACCCATTATATTTGATCACAGCACGAGATGATGATTGTAGACTATTCATATAGCCTTTTTTTATTTGAACACATTTTCCAAATCCAAGGAGATTCAGTTTACTATCATATAGGCTAAGCTCTGACATAATAAACATAAAATCCTCATAATAGTGAAGCCGGGACCGGGGAATTGTTTTGTTTTTCAGTTTTTTGTTGACTTAAAACAAATTAGCTCTGTGACAATTGTCACCGATTTATTTTCTGCCAATTGACAAATTGACTAATCTTTGCCTCGAAACATCATATTTGAGGTGTCTATGGTCGTGTTATCGACATTCAACTGCGTCAATCCATGTTCATAATGGGTACATGACTATGTCCTTTATTCTGAAGGCCTAATCAACCCACTTCCGGTTTATTTCTAGTTATTTCCCGCTGACCTGACGCAGCTCATACCAGACCACCAGGCGCACCGGCAGTCCCATCTCTGCTGACTCAGTGCCTTACCAGCAGTCCACTCACCCCGAGATACCGCATCCAGCAACAGACGCACCTTGACTCTGCTCCACCGGCCCCGGCACCACCACCACCGTACAGAAATGGCTAAGACCGCAATCGGTGAGTTTTTGCACATTGACTTTTTGTTTTATTTTTGTGAGATAGCAGCGTCTCTTCGCAGGTTTGAGGATGCTGAGATACTGTGGCGACACCCATGGCACAAAAGGATGCTGAGGGTTGGTTGATTAGAGGGAGCGGCCAAACTCCACTGCAAGTCACTCCTTAAAATTAAGTTGCAAAATTGAAGCAGAATTATTCTGTTTTTCAGTCTTTCTTGTAAGAAGTCATTTTTTGTGTGGTTATTGCTTGATCCTAAATCCAAATGAGTGGCGATCAATATGAGATTCAGTTTGCCAAATCAGTGACGCATATTTTTTTTTATTCACTTTTAAAGCAAGCGAATGAAAGAGAATGAATCCATATCGACAGAAGAAAGGCGATTTGTATTTCCTCACACAGCAGCATTTTGTCGATGCCCGCCTGCCTGCCTGCCGCACCTGACTCAGAGCCGTGCAGCATAATGCAGCGCCAGCGACCCCACCCAACATCTCCGGTCCCTTCAAAGCAAGCCAGCCGCTCTCTCCAGGGTGTGAAATGCTTTACCGTGACAAATCTCCTTATGGAAGCTGGGCCATCCTACAGTATCTAGCTGTACTGGAAAGCCTGCGCAACCCATTTTGTGGGTGACCGCTAAAAGGCATGAATAAGAGAGAGAGAGAGAGAGAGAGAGAGAGAGAGAGAGAGAGAGAGAGATGATAAAAAAGAGCATCCTTTTCCAGAATTGCTTTGCAGTCGAGGGAAGAATTTACGACTGGCGATGAAAATGAATGTCATCTCAGGAATTTCAGAACCCAATCCTATTAGGAGGGTTATAGACTGCAAATGTGCCGTATTATGTTGGATAACTGTATTATTATTGAGGCTTTAGTAGTACCGTGACAGTATTTGGTATGAATAAAATTAGATTGCCTGTTATGGCAGGTGGTAGGCCTCGAATGTGTCAGGCTTTATATATTTTCTTATTTATGTGTTAATTAGATTATTTGAACATATCACTTTGGGAGGCCTATAAACACTGGACGTGACCCGTAGGCTTTATCGAAAAGAAGCCCATAATCATATCTGACATTAAAGATAATGTGTTTGTTTTAAGGGGTGCGTGTTAAGGCTGAAAAGTGCGTGTGGCCAGTCTAGGGGATAGTCTGTTTGTTTTCTGCTTGAGTAAGCACTTGATGGATGGAGGGGCATGCAGACAGACAGCGGTAAGGGGTCCTGCATGGTGTCTGCGCTGAGGGACACCGGCAATCAAGTATATTTATTCCCCTCTCCTCCTCCTCCTCCTCCTCCTCCTCCCCCTCTTCCTCCTCCTTTTCTTTCCTCCATGATTCGAGCCGTGAACAGGCTGAAGGGGATGGGCAGGGAGCAGACACTCTGGGGGGAAAGCAGTCATCATGCCAGTCAGCACCCAGCAGGTCATTGAGTTCATGTCGGATACAGAAACATGTGGAATTTAATTCTAGCAAAAACACCGTAGGCTTCATTTGTCAAGAAACATTGACAATTGTAGGACTATAAAAGGCAGGATAAATACACCTGTATATATGTGTGTGTGTTTTTTCCTTCCTTGGAGCTGAGAGCTGAAGATAGAGACATCCTAAAGCCTCTAACAAGATCTATCAACTATCCCACAAACAAACGCGTGCTAACAACCACTTCCGTGTGCATTAGGGCCTCTTAAGCTCTTTTCCTGATCCTTATCAAGCACATTTGTCATATCCACTTAGGTGTGGTCATTGAGCTGGTTCTCCTATAAATCAATTCCTTTGTGTGCAGAAACAGAGGCTTCTCGGGCGTCACCTCCAAACCCATGCTGCATTTGTCATCTTATCATCCGCATCACTATTGTCTTAATGGTCCGTGTGTATAAAGCTCAAAAGACTCCCGGACTCATAATTCATGCTGATTTATCGCTGAGTCTCATCGATCCATGCAGCATACTCCCATTCCTGGTTCAGAGGACTGCTGCTCTTTAAAACGAGGCTGCGAGGAAGAGGTGACATCAATCCAGCGGTGATGGTGCGCCATACGCTCATGATTTGTTCATCAATTGTGAAAATCAACATCAGGATGAGACAGTTTAGAGATTTTAGCGTCCTAGTTTGGCAAATTTGATGTTATCCTCAGGTGTTTTAAACGGTAAATTCTGGACATTACACACCGCTCCCTCTTTGGTCTGCACTTTTAATGAACTGATCTGGAGCTGTAACAAATGGTTGATTCATCATTTAGTCGATTGATACATTTTAATAGATAATCTGTTATTTTTTTAAGCAAAAATTCCAAAGAAATTGACTTGTTACAGCCTCTTTTCTTGGTTTTGTGTGATAATAAACTGAATATCTTTGGCCGGATTGTCAGACAAAGCAAGACATGTAAAGTCATCCCCCTGGCTTTAGGAAACTGAGATGTGTATTTTTGCAATTATTGTAAATGATATAAACCAAAAGATTATTGATCAATTGAAAAAGATCCTTAGTTGCAGTCTTGCAGCACTGATCTGGTGGACACAGGGTGTGGCCCATCACCCCATCCCTCCTACATCAAATTACTTGACTTGCCCTTGATCATCTGGGTGTCGTATAGTTTTATTTAATAGCCAATTTTGCCGTGGTAATTTCTTCATAATTTTGTGACTATATTGTTGCTGGGTGGCACAGCTGTAAAGGGCCTGTATATGCCGAACACAGACGCCAAGCCCATATTGCTGCCAGCTTACTGGACCCAGGAAGGCAGTAAATGATGCAATACACACACAGTTTGCTTGTAGCCTTGTCAACAGTGCCTTACTTATGTTTCTCACTTTGTGCCTTTTTGCTCAAAGTGACTCCATTGCCACTCCATTTCATTTTTTATGATGGGGGTTGGGTGTTTAGAAGAGGAAGAAGGCAGAGAGGAAGAGTGTGGCAGAGAGAAATAAAGGTACCAAACAGAGGTGTGGTGGTAGCTTTTGCTCACGCAGAATTGAAGCTCCCAGGAGATGCACTAAAATAAGAGAAAATTGGGATTGAGAGGGAGAATACATCGGCAACAGATGAAACGGAGGCTTGGGGATGCAGAAGGTGCCGGGAAGAAGGATGCTTGCGGGGGAGGATGTAGTGTAGATACTGATGATCTACACTCTTTGGCTGATGGATCGGAAGATGCAGTTTGCTGGCTGTGTGTCTGTGGTCGGGGCAGGAGGAGCAGCTCTCTGAGAGGATGCAGAACTGGCTGGTTGAAACCAGCCTGCCGGAGTGGAGTGGGAGCATTGGTGTGGTGTCATGTCTGTCTGAAATGATTTCGCCTGACCCAGCATGTCTGAAACTCAGCCGATATCTTTGAACAGACGCTGGTGTTTTGGACACTTCCTGCTGTGGAGCTTCATTCTGGATCATTTGCCATTTGTATGTGCCTGACCTACTGGTAATGGGCTTATTACTACAGCGGTTACAGAAGGAAAAGATCTATTCATTTCATATTTTTGCACAATGGAGAATCTCATATATTTTTGATTGGGGATATTAAAAAAAAAATGTGCAGGAGATAGAGAGATGTTTCAATTTACAGTGAGTGCTTATCTTCCAAGAAGCTCCGATAGTCCAAACCGCCTCAAATAAAAGTCAACAAACCAGAATAGAGCTGCAACGATTTGACAAACAATCAATCGACAGAAAATAATTCTGCAACTATTTTGATAATTGATTAGTCCCTAATCATTTTTAAGTAAACATTTGATGGTTCCGGTGAGGGTTTGCTGTTTTTCTCTGATTGATATAAATGTAAATGGAAAAGTTCTGGGTTTTGGATTGTTTGGACAAAACAAGACAATCAATGACTCGTTTATAGACCCAACAAAATAACCAATTAATTGAGAAAATAATACGCTAACCATCAATCGTTTATAAAAAACAAACAACAGTCATCCCAAAACTAAAAATCTAGATCTAAATGAAAACATTATTGAACACAGAAAATCACCCAGAACGTGGCAAACAAGAATCTCCATGAGCACTTAACTCAAATGACCTGCTCCACTGAACTGTTAACTGCTTGAGTCTTGAGCAGTCAAGTGGGGTCGTGTGTGTGGGAGAAAATGGCTACTGGGGTCTTGACATATACACCGCACTTAATGAGCCTGTGACAACCCTACAAAAGCGCTGTCCCCTCCCCCTTTCGTCAGCAGAAATGGTGCGGTCCGCTAATTACAAATTAAAGCGCTATCCACCTGCAGTGGCTGCTTCCCTTAGGCTGTCCTCGGGGCGGTTGATGGTGGCTGCAAGTCCCACTGGGAGCTGCCCCCCTTTACTGGTTTACATGTTTATATCAGAAAGGTGTTACCATGACGGTGAAGCAGCCAAACATTTTCTCCATCTTCCCCCAACTTCTCGTTCCTTTCATCTGACTGAAATATGACTATTTTCTGTTTCTCTACAAAACACCTTTATCTCCATTCCTCTCCTTTGTTCAACCCCTTCCATGCTCCCAGCCTCTCACACTTCCTCCTCAGGGAAGGGGTTAACAAGGCCATGAGAGAGTAGCGAGAGCTACATCTGAGAGTTGATCACATTACCGTGGCGTCTGCCAGTCTGCAGGGCAGAAAGTGAGACACGGAGAGAAGAGGAGGAGAGAGTGAGCAGGGAATATGAACGAGGAAGAGGATTTGTATTAATCATACTGTACACCGTATACCCCACCGCGGTGCAGCTCTTTCACAGCGAATCTCATTTTGGGCTTTACTATTGTAGCTCTCTGCAAATCATAAATCAACGTGGTACCCTTCAGCCCTGCAGGCCTTGTACTGCGGGTGATGGATTATGCTATATTATGACAGTCGGTATGCAAATCTCCTCCATGGGACAGTGTGCCTTGACAGAACACAGCAGCAATGAGCAAAAGTGGAATATTTCACAAGCTGCTGTGCGTTGCAGATATTTTTGCCGTTCTCCCTACAGGGACTGCTGAACTCTGGGCTCCATTACAAAGTAGTAGATGCCAATATAAAAAAAAGAAAAATCAAGGTTAGACAAGGTTGGGTGTTCTTTAGTTTTCTGTTTTTTCACCGTTCTTTCACTTTGTCCCTCCCTATTGAGCAGAAGCAGGTTGCCAAATACAACCAGCATGATTTGATGCCAGCTTTGCTTCAGTGTTATTAACTTTTTGGACCATAAATGGACCAGGGTTGGACAGTCATATTGCTGTGTTGTGCTGATAAGCTAAACCCACAACTATTAGCCTCTATCCACAAGCCACAGACAAAGAAGATAAGAAACAACCCAAGCATTATCCCCTTGGCTGTTGGGGAAATTAGGCCAAGTAAGGACACATCCATCCAGCTCCCCTCGCAGCTCGGTGAAAACAAAGGCCAGAAAATGCTCCAAAACCCAGGGCAGCTCGAGCACGAGACATCCTTTGATGAGGTTTTCTTTTGAATAATTCTTCACATCAAGGACCTCCTGTGGAGGTAGAAGTGGGTTAATGATGTTTCATCTTTTTGTATGTTAGTAGGCTAATGATATTTTGTGTATGTGCATGTGTGCACTCAGTTTACATACACACAGTCATGTTTCATGTTTCCTGTTTCCTCCGCAGCTTACAAAGAGAAGATGAAGGAGATCTCAGTTCTCTCATTCATCTGCTCTTGTCTGTACCCGGAGACCCCCAGAAACATCTTGGGTGACTTTGAAGGTACGTGGCAATCAGACAGATTTATTTTTCCATCTTCTTTATAAAAACGTGCTCGAATTAAAAGTAAACAAAGACTGTTTCTGTCTGTCTTTCTTACACGTCAACGCACACGCATGCAGACATGGCCATCAAGCCCATTAACAAGCGAGCCTCGGGCCAGGCCTTTGAGGTCATCCTGAAGCCGTCCTCCCCTGTGTCTGATGCTACCCACTGCATCACCACCCCCCCAAAGAGGGACGTTTCCCTGGAGGACATCCAGAAGAAACTGGAGGCAGCTGAGGAACGGAGGAGAGTAAGGACGTTTCCAATCATTTTCATTGCACCCAGCTGCCACGCATCGCTTTGCTTTAATAAGCCACAAAAAGCTTTTTGTGATGCCCAAACAAAACATTTCTGACTCAAAACAAGAGGAGAGGTTCTACCACAATGCTGCTGCTATGGTGATGCTGTAATGACTACTAGACTTCACTTGACATCTAATTTGATGGCTGGATGTTTGGTTAGTCGTGGGTCACATTGACTACTGAAAACTCTAATCCAACATTGGCTCATTCATGCATCCCATTGATTTGAATGTCAATGCAGTCAATACAAGCAGCTGGCAAATCCAGCAGCCCACCAACAAATCAATCATTGTCTGCATCGCCAAACACCAGATGTCCAATACTGTGGGTCAAACATACAGTATATTATTTGTATCATAGTAAATGCCAAGAGAGGATGAAGGTGTCAAGGAGAGAAATTCTCTCACCTCCAGACATTTTTATAGTTAGCATTAATAAGTCTGATTAGTTGCAGCAGCGCTGAGTCATGCTTCAATTTTAAGAAAAATCAATGAGTGGTTTTCAATAAATGACTGTCTCCCTATCGACCCCTTGCTCTCCGACTCATTCCCTCCGCTATCCGTCTCTCTTCCTTCCAGTCCCAGGAGGCACAGGTACTCCGGGCCCTGGCTGAGAAGCGGGACCACGAGCGTGAAGTGCTGCTGAAGGCCATGGAGGAGAACAGCAACTTCAGCCGCATGGCGGAGGAGAAGCTCCAGGTTAAGATGGAGCACATCGAGGAGAACCGGCAGGCTTACCTGGCTGCCATCATGGAGCGCCTGCAGGAGAGGGTGAGCAGCAGAGACGTCGATATGCTAGGGTCATAAATCCAAAAGAAGAAAAAAAGTCTCTCAATTATTCTGATTATTTGGATTTTCTACCTTTTGTATATTCATTTAACTGTTGAATTATATTGTCTGTACAGCAAGTTTTATTAATATAAATAGTAAGTTCCTATTTACTTATTTCAAATTAGTGATTTACAGTAAATTAGGTTGCACAATTAAAACTTTAAAAAATGTCTCAAGTGATGTAAAAACTGGTTGCTAGAAAACGATATTTAGCGGGGTTCAATCAAAAGCAGCCAACAATGTAAACAGGAAGTCACTGTAGCATCACAACAATAAACATAACATTTAGTGATATTCATAAAGTTTAAATGGGAGATTTCTGATAAGACTAATGTAACTGAAGCTTCGAGGTACACAATGTTATGTGTGAAATGTTATTTAAATCCATCTAGATTACATCATTATTTAACAGTATTTTGAGCAAGTGTCAGCCTTATTCCATTGGCCACCTCTTTTACTCTTCACTATGAACGCGTTAAGTGTTAGCAGGCTAACATTAGCTTTGTCAGTTAGGCTCAGTTAGCTACGTAATAGTTACTCCAGGCAGTTACTGGGTGTATAAACTCGATAACAACGATGCAAGAATCAGCTTATATTTGTGGTGCAAGTCGTTTTAATTTAATGACGCGTAAATGTCCACTTATGTTGCAGCTATAAGTCTGAACTAAGGCAGTGCTGGTACAACTGGCTGCTGCTGAGGAGTGTGATGAAAGAGTGAGGATTGATAACAAGTGACAGGAGAATGATTTTAAAAAAAAGAAGAAGGGAAGGGTAAGGAGGGCTGATACACTTGATGTCTGTAATGGAGCACCTTTCAGAGAAGATTTAGGTTTGATACAAACAAAGATGGAGTCTTGTGCTTGGAAGGTGGGAGATAAAGATGAGAGGGGGACAGGCGGCAGAAAAAAAAGATATGAAGTAAGCTTTCTGTACAAAGGTCAAAGAAGAGGAATGGTGAAGTGAGCAGGAAGTAAATGTCAGCAAAGGCCTGGCAGCAGAGACAAACATGACAAGCTCAATCTGTGTTTCTTCTAGGAGAGGCATGCTCAGGAGGTGCGCCGGAACAAGGAGTTGAGAGAAGAAGTGACAGCGTGAGAAGCCCCAACAGGTTCTCCGTCCCACCTCCAAACCCCCCAACCCCAACCACCACCCCCGACCCTGAGGAACACCCCTCTCCACCCACCTTATCCCACATGTCCCCACCTTCTCCACCCCTCCGCCATACTCCCCCCATATTATTATGAAACTACCACAGCCTGAGATGCCACCCCGAGACAGTGGGAGGTTCAAATGGGGGTGGGGGTGGAAAAAAAACAGCAAAAATAATTTAGGCAAAAAAAGAAAAATTAATGTCTACCACCCACTCTTCCCAAAAAAAGAATGTTTTTGCCCCGTTTCAAATGAAAAGAAAAAAAAAACTAATTGACAAGCGACAGTGGGTGTTGGTTTTTGTAAATACTTCTTTTTTTGTTATATACAGTACGATACAAGCAGCAAAAGTATTGATTGCAGTGTGCCATTTTTTTCTATATAAGTTTACTCTCACCTGCTTAAAATATGGATGTAATTATTTGTTAATTTCATGCTTTTGTTTCGTTCATTTCAGCCTGAGAATCATTTCAGTCGTAGGTGTTTATTGTGAGTTTGCCAGCTAGCTGATGTGTGCAGCGACTGGTTGCGTCCTCACAAGGCCCGCATCCTGGCTCCGTTCCCTCGTCCCTGCGAACGGGCACTCATTTGACCCAGCAGATCTGGAAACAGAACTGGATCTGTGTTTGGTTGGAGTGATTTTCCATCCAGACTTTGCCAATGTTCCAATTAGCGAGAGACACGGGCGGGCGAGTTGCCAAAAGGAACGGGGGACAGTTTGCTTTCTATGGGGGACCGCAAGTTGTCACTGCACATCCACTCCTGTGAGGTAGATGGTGATTGTACCACAGGAGAACACCATTGCATTTAATGAGCCCATCCTCATCCTCCTTCCCTCCGTCTGTGACCTCTTCATCTCTCCACATACGTACATACTGTAGAAGCACTCACTCACACGCTCTCCACGTGGGCAGGCATTTAGCCAATCACAGCACAGAGCTCAGGAGGAGCTCGCTAAATTCTGTCCATCTGGCACCGGAAAGCTCACATAACATCCTTGACCAATGGCGGGCCGCTTATATTCCTCAGACACAAGCTTCCAATCACAAGTTACTGTACTATACAACACAACTGAGGTTAAAGTGCATCTCAAGAACGCTGGAGTGGAAAAAACAACTTCACTAGACGTGTTACTGTGAATCTTAAATTGGAGAAACTACAAATAAATTGCAGCTTTCTCCATTTGCTAGAGGCTAGAGTAGTGCCCAACATCTCATCAGCTCCTGCTGTTCTCATCACACTTCACTCCTAGACACAGTCAACGCCACCGAAAGGTCGGCACAAGAAAGATATTTAAGCCATAACAGGTACAGCTGCAACAACGATTAAAACAAAGTATTGCCATCTGTAACGGTGTACATGAGTGTATTAAAGGAATGTCGGTCACACGCGCACAGTAGGCCAATAGATGTGTGCGAGCGTGTGTGTGTGTGTGTGTGTTTTGCAGAAATGGCAGGTAGATAACAGAACGTTCGTGCCATGTGATATTGACCCGGTGAAGTAAAACCAACGCCATCACAGTGTGTAACAACATCACAGACAGACGACCCTACCTGCCTCTCTCTTTCTCTCCTCTGTCCATTTGTGTGTATCCCTCCTCTCCACGTATATCTTTGTGAGCAAGCAGTGGTTAATAAAGATTTGGGGTTCAGTGAATGAAGCTGGCTTTGAGAGTGACTTCTTTCAGATACATGTGTTCAAGTCGTGTTTCCGGTGTAACATTCAGGTTGTGCCGCTTGAACAACATATCAGATTAGAACACTGTGTTGAGACACAAATTACCATGTGGATTTCCATTGTGTATTACAATGAATCTATTATTCATTGTGTCTGTGAATGTCTATAAAATCAGAAAACAATTCCCCTGGTGGGACCAATTCACTTATTCAAATAGATGGTTTTTCCAAAGTTTAAATTTCACATATCATGACTTCACAACGCATGTGAACTCATGTTTGTTAAGTGGTCAGAATTTTAAGTTGATTTAAATTAAAAAACTGTAACTTTACATTAAGTTAACCCTTTAATGTCCTCGCTAAGAACACGCGGGATGGACTTTGCATTTTTTATTTCCTTGGGGCAATAACGTCAAAAACAATGTTTTTTTAAACAGACCCCGACAGATTTTTTGATATAGGTCTTTGCTAAATGGTTGAGATGCAGCGTCATGGTAAAATACAAACCATGTGCTGTTATTATGCTAATACTGTATGTATTCAAACACGTGTCCATTACCTGTAGCCTACTATACTATGTTCACGTATTTATTCTAGACATTAGGCCACTTTGAAAACATCTCAGAAACTTATTTTTTTTTAATTAATTGTAAATGGATCATCTTATCATTACTAACTTTATCACTAAAAGAGATTTCAACTGTTTGGTTGAACATGTTCATTAAACAAAAAATCATACTTCTGATTTTAGCGTTGATATAATGTAATGACATTGAATGTAGGCCTGACATATTAACAACAAAGAGTTCATTTAAATTACATTATCAGTTTTACTACCTTGACCATAAAAGGACAACTGAACCGTTTGGTAGAGCAAGTTTTTTATGAAGTGATTCGCCCCTTCTTGGAGTTTATTGTATCAAATTACATATTTCTGATCACTATGATATATCTAATAAGTATGCTTACCTTTGAAAACTTAACCAAACAAAGTGCTCATCATGTTTGGAGTGGCTTTTGTTGTTGCCAACTTCCTGTAAGGAGAAGAACTGAGAAGGCTTACTATTTAAAGACACAGTGACATCTAGTGGATTCTTTTAGCGTAACATGCATAAACAGAGTGGCAGAGATGGCTCAATCAGGTTGAGTCCAACATTGTTCACTAAGATATAGTGACTCAAAATATGCTCTAAACCAACAGTCGAGCGGAACATTAAAGACGAGTTCATTCCATTAAATTCCTGTACTGAAAACATTGTCAATCTGTTTTGAGATGAGGCAACAAAACATTTTTTTAAATGAGCAAAATGTTGACAGAGAACAGATATATAAAGGTAAAGTTATTATCCAATCAGGAGCCCCCAAAAATAAAAGCTTTTGTTTTTTGTTACCAACTTCTTTATATGTAAAGCGGATCTGATCAAAGCATCATAATGAATTATTTATTCAAAGTAAGACAAAGCAGCTCCACGCTGATACGCTTCAACAGTGACCTACGGCTTACAAGTTAAAGCGTCAATAATGATTCAATATGCATAATAATGTTACACTTCCAGTGTCATGTTATCGTCATTCTGCATTACTAGTGCTTTTTACATTTATTGAAGTATTTTTTAAGCAGTACTTTTACTTGTAACATATATAGACATTGTGGTATTGCTACTTTCACATAAGAATGAATGTCAGTAGTTTTCCCACTGTCCTCTCCCTGCGCCATGGTCTCAGTTGATGAAGTACCATTAATGACCAGCTGGGGGAGACAAAAGACAAGTTGTCTCATTGACCTTGTGGTTTTGGCTGCAGTGGAGCTTACATCACCACCTGGCTCTGCATCATCCTCAGGAATGAAATAAAAAGGTTAAGGAGAATGACGAGAGGGATCAGAGGGGAACGACAGAGTGTACATTTTGGAGGAAGAGATGAAAGAGCGAGGGTTTTTTGGCGAGCGAGTAAACTTTTGGTGCAGCAAGAGAGGTGACGGCATGCAGGAGCTGAGAACAGAAGGTGCAGCTGGTGCGAGCTGAAACGATGGCAGAGGGACAAAACTGTGTGCACACTTCCTTTCTCGCAGCTTTTCAGTCCCTTTTCTTCTTCTCTCCCTTTTGATCCCCCCTGCCCCGTTTCTTTCTTCCCCCTTTTCCCTCCAATCCTCACTCTATGCTCCATCCCTCCTTCCTTTCCTTCTTCAACCTCTTCCAACCATCCCTCCCTCCTTCTTTCCTCCTCCTCTAGTTCCCACGCAGCGCATGGGGCCAGCCGGGCTGCTATTGTCCAGGATATCCCCTCCTTGTTAATGGTTTCCTGTGCACACACAGAGGGCCGCTGAGAGAAACAAGCAGCCTCATCTGATAGCAGGCGTTGCCACGTATGGCACACACACACACACGCACGCACACACACACACACGCACGCACGCACGCACACACTGCAGGCATCAATAAGCAAACACAGAAATATCACACACGCACACTTGGACAAACATTAAAATGAACACACGCATATAACATGATGATGATAAGGCCTCAGGTGATTTAACAGAACTCTTTTATTACGGGGAAGTTGTCATTACCACCAGCGACAACTCTGACAAGCGGAGAAATCGGATTCGTCAGTGCTTGCTCGTGCAACCATAAAATATACAAACTCAAAACAGTGAGGTTTACCAGGAGACACAACAATATCAGGCGGACAGAAGGAAACTGATCTGTTTTGCCTTTTTTTTTTTTTTTTACAGCAAATACTGTGGCAGATACAAATGAGCTCCCTCTTGATAATTACAGATCAATAATGCTGCTACTTTGACAAGAAAATAACTTTAAAATAAAGGTGATTAAAATCAACCAAGCATCAGTTACACGAGAAATCAAAAAGGAAATGTGGAACAGCTGGTAGACACTGGTGAAACATATGTGAAGCCTTACATTTACTGTAGAGAGGAAACATAACTTAGGGAAGCGAGCCTCAACAATGGAGCACCATGAACCTCAGAGGTTGTGGGTAAATCATGATTATTTCAACCAAGCTGGTAGCTAAATTATGTTCCCAGTATTTCGTCAAACAAACACCTGGTTACGGTTATTCCACCCCATAAAATGCTGTAAAAAGGGGGTGACGCTCCACTACTTCAAGTCCTCCTTTCACACTCCCCCTCTCTGTATGTAACCAGGGCACCAACACTGGCTGCTTCAGCGCAGAGGGAAAACAAAGGGGGGGGGGGGGCAGTTTCAGGCAGGAACTTGACGGGCGGCGACTGGTTGACCATCTGGAAAAGCCATTCCTGATAGGCTGACAACAGTGGGTGAAACTTCTAAAGGGGTGGGCAGGAACAGAGATCAGTCACAATAAATCACTCTTGTTGCTGTTTAGACGTGGTCCCCTTCCTCACTGTTTTTCTCTTCTGTACAAAACACAATACATTAGCAATAAAGGTAGAAATCCTATATCTAGGTGCACCCCTCTGTGGGATGTCAATGTCATAGAAAAATAGCACTTTCTTAAATGGGAAAATAAAAAAAAGTCTAGTCCTTGAAAGTCCAGCTCAGCTTGAGTCTTTGAGTGAGAGGAGGTTTTCATCTCAGTCAGAAAGCTCCTATCTCCATTCCCCAGGGTCTGTAGGGTTTGCCCACACTGGACGTGGGGATTGGGGCGCTGATGGCGGGGGAGATGATGGGGAAGGCGCTGAAGGGGAAGGGGAACGCCGAGAGGGAGGAGAGGAGAGGAGGGGAGAACTTGGACGCTGATGAGGAGACCAGGGCCGGGTGTGGTACGCTGGCGGGAGCCGCAGTGGTTGGGGGAACCCGGATCGGGCCTTGATCTGAGTGGGGGGTGGCACTGCCGCTGCGCCTGCCTGGGACGTGAGTCTCTGCGACCGACGAGGAGGATGAAGAAGAAGAGGAGGAGGAGGAGGAAGAGGTGGATGTAGATGAAAGGGGAGTTTGGGGGCTGCTGGTGGTGCTGCGGGTTAAAGCTGCCAACGGTGCCCCCTGCTGGTGTTGGAGGAGGAGGGGGTGCGTGAGGTGGGCGGGAGGGGATCCAAAGGCAGAGCCCCACGCCAGGTGACTCAGGCCAGAGTGAGCCTCTCTTTGACTGGCGTAGTTGTTGAGGTGGGAGACCAGGCGGATCCGCAGAGGGTCCGCGCTGTCCAAGCCTTCGATTATGCTCAGATAACGGGCCGTCTCAGCCAGGCACTCCCTGAAACCCAGACCACGGTAGTCCATAGCCAGGGCATGGGCGTCAAAATAACCTGAGGGGAGAAGAAGAAGAAGAAGACAGAAGATTAGTTTAAGATAAGTCCCCTGAACTGCTACAAAACGAGTTTGTCCAGAGCTGAGGGATCTTTGTTGCTGGCTTTGAGATTGTGAAAGTGTAAAAACTCAGTCAAAACCAGACAGACTAGTTGAACTTTCTTCATTTATGTTCTTTTCTTCTTCTTTAATTAAAATAAATGAGAACCAAGTGAGCACAAAAGCATTCCACATCCAGTTTGCCCTCTAACGCATATGGCTGTGATTCTTCAACACGTGAGAGCTGTTTTTCCGTCACAATGAATGAATCCCAGACATACCTTTGCCTCCAGCAGCGTGAAGCATCTTTAGATGGTCAACAGTCATCTGCAAAATCTCTGCTTTCTCCAGTTTGGCTGAGCCCTTCAATGCGAGGAAGACGGGGAAAAAAGGAGCCAATTAGATGTAAATGACAATTAAACAGAGCCTAAATGAACACGGTGGTTTCATATCAAAGTGCGTGTGTATGTATGTTTGTGTTCGTGATATATTAAAGGCCTGTCGCCTGCTGCTTACCTGTTTCTCAAAGGCGCTGGGAACCAGCCTGCGGAGCTCGCTGAGGCTGTTGTTGATCCGGTCACGGCGCCGTTTCTCGATTATCTGAAGAAAGACAAAACACAAATCATTGGTTATTTTCACAATATGTGCATATGACAAAAAAAAAATGTATGGACTTCGTGCACAGGGTTTCCAACTGTACAAACGGGTTTTTCTTTTTTTAAATAAATAAATGTACTTACTCCTCGACGCCTTTTCCTCGCCTGCACCTGAGTTGATGTTATTGGAGACATGGACCCGAGAGAAGAGCTCATGTTCCTTAAAAGAGACGAAACAGAGAGGATCAATCAAAATCCCATATATATTTTTTAAAACTTAATTCTTAAATATTTAAACTATTTTACCATCTGGGCTACTCTTTAATCTTAACCACTTTATAAAATAAACCACTTCAAAGCCAAACTTACCCATTCTCATCCGCGCTCTCCTTCTCCACCTCAATAGTCTCATCCAACTCGCTGTCCGAGGAGCTGAAATCGTGATTCCTCTTCATCTTGATTCGTCCACAATAGTCCTTCAGTGTTCCTGTTGTGTCTTCCAGACGCGCTTCTGAACCAAGTTAGCCCGGAGAGTCTCAGTTTGAAGCGCTCAGCTTTCCCACGGTGTCATTTCAACGCTGCTGCCGGCCAGCAGGGGAGGGGCCTCGGGACAAACCGACCAATCACAAAGCGGCCGCGGGCTTGAGTGACAGCGCAGTTGGCCCAAGCGCATCCCAGTGCGCTTTGCCAAGTCAGAGAGGATAAAAAAGAGAAAGACATCTCACTCTGTGGGTGTTACTGGAGGCTGTGGAAGTTAAAAGATTACTTCGTAGCTGGACTCTCTCTTATCATGAAAACACCAAAAATATTCCTGCCATCCACACCTAAATCTGTTGTGAAGTTTAAATGCAAAAAGAAAACTGCAGTTAAGTTCTTAGGTTATGAATACATCTTAAAACTTCCTAAATTGAGCAGATATGGTCTGAAAATGTCTAATTCTGAGCACCTCTTTCCCAGGGTGGTTTCCATTGTAAGATTAAGTTTGTTTTTGACCTTGGAAACATCAGTTAGACATTTCTTTCTTTAGAGCCACCGAACATTGTTTCATGAGCAAATTCTCGTGTGAAACGGACCTTTGAAGTCGAGCTAATGGCTTTCCGTGAACAGCTGATTTAGTTATTATTTGTTTCTTTTTTCTTTTTTCTCTCTAACAACTTAAATAGAGTCCAACTAACACAAATAAGACCTATGCATGGTGGCATGTGTTGTTGATATATAGCCTATTGGTCCTGCTGTAGATGGAAGCCACGTCTGTATTTGCAAAATCGATTTATCTGTATACACTATCGTAAATTCTCTTATAGTGTAATTATTTTCATGCCTTCAGATAAAATAAATATTCATAAGCATAATATAATTTCCTCCTTCCACGTGTAATTTTGGCTTTGCCATTTTCTTGAAAAGTGACACGATACGTCGTAGTAATTCATCTTCCTAAAATAGAGGATCTTTGGAGAAACTTTGATAGCGGTCCAATGGACTTTCGGTCCGTGACTGCCCCCGACGATGCCCGCCCCCCCCCCTCCTCCCCCCGTGTGTGTCCCGGTGGTGGTGAGGAGTGGCTGGCCGGCTGTCAGCACGCGCTGGCCGTGGGAAAGTTCCCTAACCGGCGCTGATAACCAATCAGAGGCCGACGGCCGTCTCCGGCGCTGGAATGAATGGAGCAATTGGTCGGGGCGACGGGCGGTCTGCGAGCGAGCGTGTGAACCTGTAATCCAATACTAACTCAGCCCGGGAGGAGAGACAGGGAGCACCGCCGCAACCAGAGGAAGCCACCAAGTCTAATCTTACCCCACAGAGAGACCTCATGCTCGGTAAAGACGCTGTGGGGACTTCAAGTACTTTCAAACAAAAGACCATAATGCAATCAAAGCCGTCCTCGGTCCTTTCCCCCCCGGAGTTTCCACATCATCGCCACCACAAGACTGGTGGCTCCTATAATAGTCACACTCCCCAAATAATTTGACGGAGCTGCTGGTGTGTGTTTGTATACACGGAGGGCTCCTGTTACTGCATGTGGAGCAGGAGCTCTTCAGTGAAGGGCCTCCTGCAGACTGGACTGCGGCATGTTTAAATAGAAGACTGCAGTTAACATAGAAAGGGAGCATATCATAGGCTAGATAATCTAAATCACTTAACATCACATAGTAAAAGCACATTCTACTTTAGAGGACCAGTGTGGGGGATTTAGTGGAATTTATTGGCAGAAATTGAATATAATATATATATATATAATAATGTTTTCATGGGTTTATAATCACCTGAACTAAGAATCATGTTTTCTTTGGCTTAGAATGAGCTCTTCAAAGGACATAAAGAGATCTGGATACATCCCTGTTTATTCCTATGGCGCATCTTCTCAACAAACTCTCCACCAAGAAGCACATAAGGGTATATCGTCCCAGATCTCGAGTTATTTCTTTGAGTTTATGCAGTTTTACTGACCTGTCGTGCAGATTTCACATGCAGAAGTCCATTTTCCGATGCTGTCCAGGCATGTTATAATATAAGAGGGCTATATTCACTCTATCTTAATTAAAAACAATCATATTACTTCTCATGTTAAATATATTGAAATATCCCTTGACATGAAATACATCCCAACAGGGAGGGAAAACAGAAGCAGAAAATAACTTAAACAACATTAACATCAACAGGAAAAGGCTTCTCAGTCTCACAAACATCGGTTTGTTAACATTGTTTCCAATCCACATTAAAACCAGTCGGTGCCGGCAGCACACTGACAATGCACCCAACCTGCTAAACCGTCTGAAAGGGAAAACTATGTCTGCTTTTCTATGTTACCTTTTCAAATATAAATAATGCCACCTGCCAAATATCTCTTCAAAGGCAACTAAACTGAAAGGCTATGACTGAGGTGGGGAAATATGCACTACTCTATGAACATGCAATCAGGAAACACAAAATCATGATTCATCAGACATTAATACAATATGAATCAAATACGCCGCCATTCATTCCCTGGGGTAATGGACTGTTGATCTTGTGCTTATAAAGACCAACACTGAATCATGGATCAGCCATGACTAACCTCCACACACACTCACACACAAAGTGATATGGTGATCCTTATCAGTGGGAGCCGAAAGCAACCAAAGAGTATACCAGTCATCACAGAGAGAGGAGGCTGCTGTTTGGTTTGAATGACAGGAAGCACTTAGGGCTGTTTTCATCTTATTGTTGTTGTACAAGGCTGCGCTAGCAGGACAGACACACAGATGCACAACAGTCATCGAACTCATTATTGGTGTGTGTGTGTGTGTGTGTGTGTGTGTGTTTGTGTGGAGTGGGAGTGTGGGAGTTGTGTTCAGATACATCCGAGTTCATGCAACCTGAAGCTTTTGTCACAATAAACACAGGTGTGCGTCCACATTAGTTTCTGACTGTGTGTGTGTGTGTGTGTGTGTGTGTGTGTAACTAGGGGGGAGAGCAGGCGGGGGTGAGCCCTCTTGTTGTATTTCAAGTTCACCCAGAGTTCCCACGCTGTTATTTTCTGCACGGCTGTCTTTGTTCTACAGGTCTCATCACATGTTGTGATTAGTAGGGCCTTTCAGGGGCCGCCCTTTGAAGGTGAGGGCCCGCTACACGGCATCGTCAAATCCCTGCCCTCCTCCCCCCCCCCACCCCCCCCCCCACCCCCCCTTCTCCCGCTCCAAATCAGGCCACCGAACCGAGTCAAACTCGGGGCCAAAATAATCAGGGATGCAGTGACGGTTCACCTCCATTGATCTCTCTGCTCTTGTATTCGTTTCAGTTGTTTTTCATGTGTAGTTTCCTGTTTTCACATATTGTCCTCTGTCTTGTTTTCTTGTATCCTATAACTACTAATCTTTCCTCCCTCTCAATCAGTACTTTGCTGCTGAGATTTAATCCAAAGGTAATTCTGTCTCTCCAAACCCTCTCCTTCGCTGCCAAATCCTCTCAAACACTGAATATTGATACACTCGGTTAAGGGTCAGTTCAAGGATACGCATTAAGACATTAGCTTATAAATTAAACATTGGATCGTTGTGATATTTTGGCCAGAAAATAATACGTTTCCATGTCCTCTGCCGACTCGCACTGTGCAATCAAAAAGGGTTTTGAATATCAGTTTATTAGAAAGCCACAAGTGCATTTTTTTTGGCAATAACATGTCATCATCGCAGACAGAAAAGAGTCTAGACTGTCTTACCATAAGGAAATGGTTGGAGTTATGCATGCACACTCAGGCTTTGAAGTCGTTCTAAAGGCGGATTTCACCAATAAATGCTGTACTCAGTTAATATTTTCTGCCTGAAGTGCAACTGCTTCTGCTGTACACGTTTACACAATGGTCCACATGTCATCAGGTATTTAGTTGTATAAGTTTGTTTAGGTTTGATTTCCTGCACAGAGCTCGTGTGGATCTACATGACTTCAGTGAGTGTAAATTCAGCTCGGCTGCAGCGTTGACGGAGTGACAATGATGAATGAGGTTGATATCATGTTCGGGAACTCTCAGTTACTCCTTAACCAAACAAAGTCAAGCTAAACTGTTGACGGCTTGAAATAATATTGGTGGTGTCTAATATTATTAACTGACACAAAACACTAAAAATAACTCAATAAGGTTGATTATACAAAGAACCATATTATACAATAATTGTGCTTTTTGTCTGGGTCAGAATGTTATTCCAGCATGAAGGAAATACATGAGAAATAAACAGCACTATAAAATTAAAGTATAAAGAAGGTGTTTTTTTTTTTTTTAAGTTTTTGGTTTACCCCTTGTCCAAATGTTTTACAAAGTATAAAAAACTTCTCAATTTATTTTATTAACCCCCCAAAACACAAACTCTCCTCAGCACGTTACAACAAGAATCTCTATTCTTCTAACCTTGATTTGGAAAAGCTCCACCAAAGCTAGAAGGTCCTCAAACACAAAGCCTTCATTTGGGGATGTCTCAGTTTTATATCCGTTTCAATACATCAAACTCAACACATATCATGTGATGCAATAAATCAACTGACATCTGCCAGGAAACAATCCCTCAAAACATGTTGCCTTTGAAGTTCATTGTTAAATAAAAGTGTGTCTATTGATTTGGGTTTGAGTCTTTAAATCTGATTATTAAATCCTTGTGTAAGCAAATACAGATGATGTCAGTACCATCGGTTTCCCAACACTAGTTTAATCCCTTCCAGAAATGTTTGAAGACATGAGTAAAAACGCTCTATAAACTTGTTAAAATGTCTTCAATATGCAAATATTTTCCATTTCAAAAGGTACTACTGGTTGTGTATTGGACCGGCATTGTCTTCCTGTGATGTCATGAAGTCACGCTCAAACTTCAGCAGATTAACGTAAAAACAGCGTCAAACATACATCATTCTGCACGGGGAAGCTCAAACACCCAAGCGTAGTAACAACAAGCAAAACATATTTTGGGACTCTAAATATTTTAGTTACACGCGTATCTCTGGCTTTGCTAAAAACCAAACACGACAGTTTTTGAAGGGGTGACCCCCAGTGAGTCACGGTGAGACACCGAGAGCTGCGGCGTCTGCAGGTTAGCCCCAGACAGATGTTCGTCCGCTTGATAACAATACGGTGAGCCGCTTTCTGGTGGAGCCCTG